CCCCCACTCCCTACCCCACCCTAGGACAACAGTTTGTTTTGTTATGTTTGTTGTTGTTGTTGTTTTGTTGCCTTAATCGCTGTCATTATAATATTTTGTTACAAAATTGTAAAAAGGTGAGAGCGTACGAAGAGGCGACTTGAAAGCCCTCTATGTTTACGGATTGTGTGACTGTCAAAAGGCAAGTAATGAAGAAGGTGTACAGATTTCTCCCAAACATCGTGGGGGGGGGTGTTATATTCCGGAACCTCCCACACTGAGGGAAAACGCTGCTAAGATGGAAAGACATTATTATATTTAACGTTGCATCCGCTGGTGGCAGAGACACGTTTCTTTCTTCACGCCACACTCAAAACGGTGTTAGCGACGGATAAAAGTACAAAGTATAAATCGTCGTGGAGAAATCAGGCGATCTTCAAAATGAGGAAATCGAAGAAACCGGCATTTGCCCGACCCTTGGGCAATGTTTACCGTTTTTCTTTCTTTTTGGCTCAACACCTATTGCGTCATTCTGTGAGTCATGGAGAATTGATTTACTTGACATCTGTGGGTCATGGAGAATTGATTTACTTTACATCTGTGTGTCATGGAGTAGTGATTTACTTGACATCTGTGTGTCATGGAGTAGTGATTTACTTTACATCTGTGGGTCATGGAGTAGTGATTTACTTGACATCTGTGGGTCATGGAGTAGTGATTTACTTTACATCTGTGGGTCATGGAGTAGTGATTTACTTTACATCTGTGGGTCATGGAGTAGCAGAGCGCCGTGACGTCAGACTCGTGGGCCGCCATGGTGATCTTTGCTCTCATGCTGCTGGCGTCGTACACACTGATCTTGCCGCTGCGGTTCCCGATGGCGATGTCTTTCCCTTCCGGACAAACCTGGGAGCAAGGGTCAAGAGGTCAAACAGTCAAGCGGTCAAACGGTCAAGCGGTCAAACAGTCAAGCTGTCAAACAGTCAAGCGGTCAAACAGTCAAGCGGTCAAGCAGTCAAGCTGTCAAGCAGTCAAGCTGTCAAGCAGTCAAGCTGTCAAACAGTCAAGCTGTCAAACAGTCAAGCTGTCAAACAGTCAAGCGGTCAAGGAATTATTCTAAGAATGCTGACGTGATTAGACATAATGTCATAATAATATTATTTTTACCGTCCACATCTTTAAACACGCTGTCGAAAAAAAAGAACAACCC